TTATTTTTAAAATTTAAAATTTAAATAATTAACTTAAGTCGTGTTTGATAAGTAGATATTTCAAATCAAAAGTTGCTAAAAAAATTAAAAGTTAACAAATTATAAAATAAAAAAAAATTTAAAAAATTTCACTTTCTGCTTACCTTTTACACTTTATATATATATATATATATAATAAAAAAAAATCATTTAAAATATATTAATTATAAATTTACTAAAATAACTTGTTGTCAAAGGAGCCCCGGCAAAAAAGTCGTTTTATAGTGGGAACTGTGAAATCTCTTGGCTGCGAGACCTTTTTTTAGTCCTCTCTTGACAATAAAGCCCTAAACCGGTGTGAGTGGAAGTGAAGCAGAAAGAGCTCTAAACCCTAACCCTGTAAGTAATCTCTCTCATGATTTTTAGCCTCTAAAAATCTTTGAATTTCTTCTATGCATCCATCGTTGAGCTTATTTGAAGAAAAAAAAACCCTAACTTTTTTCAATCATTTTCTGTCTTAAACCCCAGTTTTTCTGTATCCTAGGGTTTTGCGATATTGAACTAACCTTAATGCGTCCTTTGGTGGTTGTTGTTGTTACAGGTTAGGTTCTTTGGTCTGATTCAATATGAGGTATCTTTGGCCTTTCAATTTCTTTATATATTGATTCCTAGGGTTCTATATGTGCTACTATCTTATATATACGTATCGAACTAGGGTTTTGCAGTCTAACCCTTTTTTTTTCTTCTACTTGTACTGGATCTGATATGTTTACGTGATAATCAGTTGTTATTTGCAATGAATTATGTTACCCACTGGCGATTTATGTTACAAATTTCATATTCACAAGTGGAAGTATGCTTTTATAAGCAATTATCACTTGAAGTTCATGAGGGCATTGAGTATTATGATTTAGTAAGCAAACTACTGGTCATTGTCTTTAAAACTATGAAGGGCAATTTATCAGTACTGTACGAAGTGGCAAAGAAACTAAATGTGCTTTAAGGGAAGATCTCTTTGTCACTTGCCAGTCTAGCCTTACATTGTTACTAGTCTTTTTTTTTTATTTTTTATTTGTTAATGAGCCCATTATCAACTGATATATGGCCATTAGGTGGACACACCAATTGCTAACCCACTATTTCCCCTGTTGTTTCAAGCACTTTTACAACATAACATAGTTACTCTATTTTGACGCCCATAGAGATTTTCATTATTCTTTTCTCATCATTATCTGTTTGTGCATTTGTAAAGTGCAATAATGCAATACTTGTGTTTTACTCAACCAATTGTAAGCCTCTCCTACATTTGGTGATATAACTAGGTAATTTATGTGGGGAAACAAAAAGTACAGAAAACAGAACCTTTTTGTTATCTATGCCAATCTAAGGTGGAATGAATAACCATAACACAAGGATGTAGTACAGTAATTGAATTGTTCATTATGTTGAACTTCTTATTTTTTTGTTTTGCATAACAATTGTTTGCTGCTTAGTTTGTGGACAAAACCGTCGTGCCCATTCTCACTTACTGCTTGTCTGTGGCATAGAACTATTTATTAGTTCATTTTTATTCGATAAACTTGGGTGCAGGTTACTAATTGCATTTTATGTTTATTTTTTGCAGTCGTCCAATGGAAGAGGATGCCACTGTAAGTTGCCCTTTATTATTATTATTATTATTATTATTATTATTTTAGTAGTAGTAGTAGTTGTACTGCTTAGATGGTTAGTCCTCTTTCTTACTTCTTTTTTGTTCAGTAATTTCATCATCTTTTATTATACTTGCAAATATATTTGTGCTTCTTCTTCTTCGTCATTATTATTAGTAGTAGTAGTAGTAGCAATACTAGTAGTAGTAGTTGCACTGCTTAGATGGTTAGTCCTCTTTCTAACTTCTTTTTTGTTTAGTAAATTTCATCATCGCTTGCAATATGTTTGTGCAATTGAGAATTAGTCTTTCCTTTTCTTTATTAATCTAACTGTCGATATGATGAAGTCTTCTATTGCTTATAAAAACACAAGATATTATTTTCATTGAACGTCAATCAATATGGCTTTGCTAGTTGTTCATTATACATTTGTCTTTTTATTTGTCTGTCACTCTCATGTAACTTATTTTTTAAAATGCTTTTTGAGGGGACCCGATATGATTTCAACTAGGTTTCAGTTAAAGGTCAAATTTGTTTAGGTGTGCTGAAGTTTGTAATTAGTCTTCCCAACTATGGTGTTTGAAAAACATTTTCATGTACTAATATTGATTGGTCAAGATTACTAATACTGTATTAGTACATGAAATAAATGAGTTTATTTATTTATTTATATATATATATATATATATATAGAAAATAATATAAAAGGGGAGGGTTGTTGAAATTGAAAGTAGATTTGGTTAAGTGTTTATTAAAGTGTTTTCATATTTTATTTGCAGGACCCGTTTGTTTTATTCACGATATGGTTTTTACATGCATACACACATGTATACGTGTATAGATACATATACATGTGTTGGACCTATGATCCTACAATCATTTTTCACTTTCCTGTTAAATACTTTTCATTGAAATTTTTACTTGCTATATTTCTGTTTTTGTACTCTTCTTATAATACATAGTTCATAGTGCTCATCGAAACTGTTTGCAACAGGCCAAGACTGAAGAAGAGGAATTCAGCACCGGACCTCTTTCTGTTCTGATGATGAGTGTTAAAAATAACACACAGGTAATACAAAATCTTCGTTTCTGTAAATTGGCGTTATTGTTGTTATATTGGTGAAATTTTGAGGGAGGGGCCATGAGTCCTTAAATCGTTAACAAGGGATTGTTATTGTGGCATGTTGAATTTTTTATTTATTTATTTTATTTTTTTTAAAAAATGAAAAAAAAAAAAAAAAATCCCCTAGTTCTGCCCTTGGAGCTCTCAATTGTCTAGACATGGGTTGTGAAATCTAGAAGGAATTGTTGTATGTATTTTAATTTGCTTCCTTTTTATCACTGGGTTTGTTGTGTATTTGGTTGTTGATGACACATCTGTGACTCGTCTGCAACAATCAGGTGCTTATCAACTGCAGGAACAACAAAAAACTTCTGGGCCGTGTGAGAGCATTCGATCGGCACTGCAACATGGTTCTGGAAAATGTTAGAGAGATGTGGACAGAGGTTAGTTCTGCATCTTTGACAAATCTTGGGTTTTTTTGTTTTTTTCCATTTGTTAATTCTATTATGTTGAATACCATGCAAGTTCCACATCTAAAGATTCTAAAGTTTGTGTTTAAATTTTGTGTTTCTTCTCAGGTACCGAAGACTGGGAAAGGCAAGAAGAAAGCCCACCCAGTTAATAAAGATCGGTTCATTAGCAAGATGTTCCTCCGAGGAGATTCTGTGATTATTGTCCTTAGAAACCCCAAGTGAGGTATTTGTTCTATATGGTCTTCATTGATTAAATGGAACAGTTTTAGACTTCAAAATGTGTTGTATTTGTGTTTTGAACTCTCTTTTATGTACAATTTATGTATTAATGGTAGTTCAATAAATATGATATGTGTTGTCTAGAACATTTAGTTATTCTAATTACAGTATGTCTTGGAACAGCTGGGTCCAATTTAAGTGTTTGTTTTGATTGGTTTGCAACTTAGTATCTTTTGTATTCTGAGTTATTTATGGTGATAAAGCTCAAGCTTGTATGTCCATTGAAGGATGGGTGATTGGGTGATAAGTTGGTGAATTAAATAAAGTTGACAACATGATTGATCTTTTACTCGTTTTGTTGAAAGCACGTTTGGCATTGAGGAATCTGTCCCTTTTTACTTCAAAGACATTTAAATTGATACTCCTTGTATGCCATAGTTGAGTTTGTCGGCATTGGTGACAGAACTATCTGAGTGTAAGCCATACTAAGGTCAACGTTGAATTCTAGGTTTCTTTTGATTGCAACTTAAAAGTCAACTTATTTTTTTGTCTTTAGTGAACTCTTTTTTTATACACTTTTTAGGATCTGTCTAAACAAGACGATCCCAAAAAAAAGGATTTTTTTTTCCTTATAATAAATCTATTAAAGACAAAAATAAGTGGACTTTTGTCGAATTGCTCTTGCTTAGTTGCTTATTTCATTGTACTTATAGCATAATTCTTGTCCTTTCCATAGATGCATTGCACGACTTGCTTGATCACTATTGATCAGTATTACGAAGTTGTACTTTGAATTTGTGATGGTGTGATTATTATAATAGTACTTGCTTGATGTAGGTATACGCGGCAGAGGTGTAAGAACAGAATTTTGGAGCAGAACAGGGCTTTTAAAGCAAGCTTAGGAGTTGGTTACCTTTGGAGTCTCAATTTCCGGCCTTATGTATTAGGGATTGTACGTAGTACGTAAATCATGGTTGTTGTAGGACTAAAACTTTCTTTTTGTTTGTCATTTCTACTGTTATGTTTTTATCATGCAACTAACTAATGGTTTTTCTTTTAATTCCAACTTATTGACTTTGTTGTTCTTGATGTGCTTGGCCTACAAGCATGATTTCAAATATTCCCACTAGTGGGATAATTACAAGCAGTGAAATTTGTCAAGCTGAGTAGTGTATTGTTGCATCTGATAAAAGGGGAGAATATATTTTATGTTTCTGTTTCTGTTGCAAGTATTTGAATGCTTTTCAAGGTTGGAGAGAAATGCACCTATAAAGAATTCGACATGTAAATTTTTTATTTTATTTTTTTGAGAGTAACATGTAAAATTTTAGATGTGTATTTTGGCACTATTGGACAGTAATTGGAGACCCAATTGTAAATTTCATCTTTATTTGAAAAAGAGCCTACTGCAACACATGGAGGACAGGTCGCAGCTGATATATGGTGCCTGTTTTAAATAATGGTATTGGGATATAAATCTGGAGTCAGGAGCCTCTCCTTGCAAGCTTGTGCTTGCGTCCGTCCTTGCAGGCCTTCGGGTCTACTTTTAGGCCCAATTTTAATAATCCGAACCGTTCATATTTTATGATTTATTCAGTATATCATACCTGTAAAAAATCAAGTTGATCGGATATCAGAAAGTATGTGTTCGAAAAATTGAACTAAAAACTATTTTTTAAATAATTTAATAAACAGTTTTCCAAACACATACTTTCTGATATCCGATCAATTTGATTTTTTACAGGTATGATATACTGAATAAATCATAAAATATGAACGGTTCGAATTATTAAAATTGGGCCTAAAAGTAGACCCGAAGGCCTGCAATGACGGGCGCAAGTACTAGGCTGCCAGGAGAGAACCTTGGCTCCCTCCTTACGGTTCCGGCGCAGAGAATACAACAAAGTAATACAAATCTTCTTCCAGAAGCTTTCTGAAAGGGTTTTCCAAGCACCGAAGAAAAATGCATTTCAAAAAAAGAAAAGCAAAAAAGAAATTCCATTTCATCTCTCCCTCTCTCTCTCTCTCTCATTTTGTTATTATATATCTGGCTGTGGGTTGTTAGCAAATCATGTGAATATGCTTCAATTCCACTTAATCTTCGTCTTTTAATGCCCTTGTTTAAGATGTGAGTTGATTTTTTAATTTTTTAATTTTTTTTAATTTAGGGTCAAAAAGTCTTATTTGGAATTAATTTTTTCGTTTTTTTATTTTTGTGAAAGAAAAAATAAAATAATTATAGTTTAAATGTACTATTTTATTTTATTAACTTTTTAATCTATTTTGTTTTTTTATGATTATTTTAATACAAACTCTGTATGCCAAACAAAGCCAATGTTTAAAAGAAATTCTCTTTAGATTTTTTTCTGAATTGTTCTCTTGTTATTATTTCTTTCCATCTCAGATTTCAATCCTTAATCAGCAAAACTGTGTATCTAATTATACAATTTTTTTTTTAAAATTATTAATCTAATCCCAGAAATGAGTTTACTAATTTCCTCCTCCCCCTCAGATTGTATAATTAATTGAAGGTCAACGTCACGGTCTACTTAAATCATACAAATTAATTCAGAGAAAATTTTGAGAAAGAGACGTATATCTTTACCGGATGCATGATGATGCTATGATTGTCTCTGTGGTGGACTCCCCATTTCGTAGGTCTGGATTATAATTCAAATTTGACAACGGTTACATTGTTTAATTGAGTTTTAAAGTTGTTTGTTTTTATAAGGAGAATGGAAATGATTGATAAGAAAAGAATTAATATTGAGAGAATTAATAAAATTGTATTTATTTTGATAATAGTTATTAGTGTATGAATTGTTAAATTAAATAAATATAAAATAATAAAACAAATTAAATTATGATTTTTACTTAACAAAAAAAAATAAAAACAAAAACATTAAAAATTAATGTTGAAAAAAAAAATGCCCAACATGTAAAAAAAAAAAAAAATTGCAGTTGAACGGCCAGAAGTTCGGACGGACGACCGATAACACTGTAAGTCGAAGGACTATTTTCTTATACCATCTCTCAATCCAGACTGTTAATACCCTTGTCCAAGGCTTTTCATAACCTGAAGGAACTACCAATCTAAAGTCCCATAATCCAAACAAAGATGACTTATGTCCCTTGTTCATCACTAAGAGTCCGGAGTGGACTCCTACGATGAAAAACAAACGGGACCTTAGAGTACCCAATTGCCATATTAATGCTATTATAAGCTCCTTTAATAGCTGTAATACAAGACGAAAGAAAAAGCTAGTGGAAGAAAAGGAAAATGATTTATAATTTATAAATACAAATTTTATACAAAAAAAAATCAATAAGAATTATGGAATAGTGGCCGTTTTGAAATTACAAGTCACAATAATTTTGTTTTTAGTTTTTGATGAAAGGATCATAAAGTGAGTGTTTAGTAAAACTTATTTACAGCTTAAATCAATTTATAGCTTAAAATAAGTTATGCTGAAGTGTTTGGTAAAAATTATGAGGGATGAATTATAACTTAATTTAAGCCATTTCAGTAATAATCTTTTAAGTTGGTTCCCAGGTGTTTTTGAAAATGGATTATGCACGAAGCTGTTTGGCCCCGTTTGTAATGACTTAAATGCCCCCCCAGATATTTCAACTATTACCAAAAACCCACTATATAAGCCTTGTTCTCAGCACTGTTCACTTGTAAGAGAGAGACAGAAGCAATTTTCGACAAGGGCGATTTCCGGCGAGAGCAATTTCTGGCTCTCAACACTGTTCTCAACTCACTCTCTCTCTCTCTCTCTCTCTCTCTCTCACACACACACACACGAACCAGAGCTCTCCATCTCTCCCTCCCTTCCACTTTCTCTCTCCATCACGCATCAATGCCGTTTTAGATCGCCGGCTAGGGTTTCTCTCTCTCCCTCTTCCTCTCTCTTTCCATCGCGATCTGAAACTAGAAATCATCTCTAGCATTCACTCTCTCTCCGCCGCCTTCCGCACTTACATCGACGGTTGGTCATCGGTTTGCAGATTGACAACTAGGGTTTTGCAGAACCAGTTGGTCGTCGGTCTGAAACGGCGAAGAAGGAGGAGGAGAATAATGGAGGTTCTTGCCGTCATTATTGCGATTTATGTTGATTTGCATTGAAACCCTAGCCACCGGCGATTGTTCGCCGGCAGCATTGAAACCCTAGAAAAAAAATTGAAGAAAAAGAAAAAAAATCAATGTTAATATTAATTAGTGTGGAGAAGTGGTTTGGAAATACTCTTCTGATCCTGGGGGACGCTAGTGATCCTCTTCTAGTCACTTGAAAAGGAATAAACACTCCGGTCGGGGGTGCCGGAATTAGCACTCCGACGGGCAAGTCAGTCTCCAATCTCTGAGTTGCTTATATTTTAAGTAAAGTGTAATAGTTCTCACATACCTTTCTTAGTCTGTTGTTCCATTATTTATACTCGTTTCCTGGGCCTCGGGGCCAGCCCCACTTTTCACTCATTATCCTCTTATTTACTCGGCTCCATAGTTCAATATCTATTCGGCCTATCTATTTTATTTGGCATCTTAATCGTGCAGGATAGAGCCGAGTAATATCTGTCTTCTAGAGTACGCTTCTGATTATTCCAATTATCCGACTCCCACAATTGCCCCCCAAGCACCCCGCTAGCATCAGTTAGTCGGCGTGTTTGGCTAGAAGTCAAAAATTCGGTGGTTAATCCTCTTCCCGATGCGTGTCAGAACGCGTACGTGCTTTTTGGTCATTGTAACGTATTCCCGCCCCATTCGTGCTTCTCTCGCATTTATTACGATTTGAAACTTAAGTCCTTTCGAATACATGCTTTTTTGAATATTTGAACCTCCTGGGCTGCCAGTCGGTATCTCTTCTCCGACGCGTTTTCTACAACTCCTATCCATTCTCTCCTTGTCTCTTTTGCCTTTCGTAAGTTTTCTTCTCTTCTCCTTGCAATCCTATTTTCCGTATTTATTTTTGATTTAGAATATCCTTGAGTCCTCACTAGAATGGCTAAGCATTTGAAAGACCTCCTTTCCGAGGGTCAAATTTCTGGGTTCCGAAGACATTTTTCTATCCTTGATGATGTCCATTTTTCTCTAGTAACGGACAATACCCTTGATATGGAGATGGATGACCAAAATACAATCGTCATTCCTCTTCTATCTATTACGGAGGGCGGAGTTCGCTTTCCCCTACACCCATTTCTCAAGGCCGTCCTCCGCCATTGTGGTCTGATTCCTTCGCAACCCAATGTGAATTTTTTTCAAATCGTAATGGGAATCGTAGAGTTAAACCGGAGTCTCAGGATCAACCTTGGCATTCCGGCGATTCGGCACTGCTATGATTTAGCCAAATCCTCCGGTCAGCTTGGGCGCTACTTTCTCAGGGCCAAGGACACCGACCATCACTTGGTAACGATACTTGCCAGCTCTGGCAAACGAGTTGACGATGTAATGGTCAATGTCCGAGGCAACTGGGAATTTGGCGAAGGTGAAGATCGCCTAGACCCTATTCCTAGACGGAGGGGTGAACCAGGTTGCCGTATAACTCCTTGTTTGTTGATCTTTCTTTTATTCGGCTTTTTCTCCAAGCCTAACCCTTTGTTTTTGCAGGCAATAAGTTGAAGAGGATTTTGACCTCGGCTGACGACGCAGTCCTTGCGGAAATTTAGATTGCACTAATGTACTTTGGCCGTCCAAACGTACAGAAGCAAGGGAGAGCCGCCCATATTCTCTTGCGGTACGAGCCTACTTATACTATGTTCTCGGCCGCGGACGACATTCCGATCCCAACCGGCGAACAATACCTTACGGCTCTTATCTTCCCTAGCTTCAAGATCCTCAGGCAAATTGGTCTTGAAGCTTCTGATTCGGAGCAAGACTTAGAGCTGGTGGTCGAGGTAGTTGCCGAATCAACGAGGAAGTTGGCTGCCGAGGCCGAAGCGGTCGACGAAGCTCTGAAATCAGCGTTTGAGGCAGTCGGTCTTAACCAGCCTAACTCACCGTCCACTTTGGAGCGGGCGGAGTTTTCTTTCGAAGATATTTTTACAAACTTGGGAGACCTACTAGGCACTTTTTCTGAAGGCATGGCTGGAGAGAATCTCACGCAGATGGCAAGAAAGAAAAATGCCGAGCGAATGGCCGCACGAAAGAAAGCCGAGGCCGTTCGTTCTGAGCCTGCCTCGGTTGAATCTTTACAACCCATTACTAGAGAAGA